GCCACATTATATTGACTGATTGCAGAGCAGTTGTTCCAGGGGATGGCTGGCTCCCCTGGTAATTGTTGCAGTGGTGAATCCGGCAATGAATCTGTATGCCAATCACTTTTCACATCTAAAATTCTGAAATTGAAAGAGGGAGTAGAGGTGGAAGTGGTACCGGCTGTCCTGTTTAGCAAGTTTGTCATCAAGTGTGAGGCAATGGTTGAATCCACTCGGTGTCCAAATTTTGGATAAGGCTCTCGTTCAGGAGAGAAGAGACAGTCGCCATGATCAAATTGGCATGCAAGTAGATTGCACTCTGGATCGCAGCGCCCATTGTCAGCTTTGTCCGAGCAGTTAGCTTGAAGGCAGGCTTTGGCTTCGAATTGATATCCAGGCCAAGAGTAGGCGTCTGAGAGACAGGCGTGACCCCTCAGTTCACAATGCCTACCACAAAAACCTTTGAGTGGGTTGCAAACAAACAAGAGTGCAATGTGATAAAATGGGAAGCATATTTTCTTGTATAAAAATGTGATAATCTCCAAAAGCCAAATTATTAGCGAAACATTAAGATGTGATAGTTTGTATGTTAAGACAATTAGGTTTTTTTCTGAAGAGGAAAAAATATAGAAGTGGGTTGACCTCGTTGTCGCAACTTGGTCTTGTTGTCAGAGCGACTTAGTAGAACGCACCTAGTCCGAAGTCGTCTGCCATAGTAGTGGTCATGATTCCCAGCATCAGACAGTGGACTTGGTACTTTCTCAAACGTCTCGCCGGCATAGTAGTCAGCATCATCAGTAAGTTTTGCCATTCTCTGCACCAATGTACGAACTCGTCAAAGAGACAAGTGAAGCCAATTATTTCACCAACGTTCTGCCATAAACGGTTACACTATCACTCCTTATTCTGTTCTGGCCTGGTAGAGTTAGCGATAACTTTGCCTACTGCCTAAGCAAACTCGAGGAAAACAAGAATGGGGCAAGACCAGCAAAAAGGAGACGCCTTGATCAAGGATCTACCGCTAACCGAAGGAAAAGGGATTGAGATGAAGAAGGTAGGGGGCAGGGGTTTTCGACAATCAAGCGAAGACGTTGCCAGTGAGTGATATCCGTTTCAAATAAACCAGTACAACTTTGGGGGCATGGCAGTCAGGGCGCTGGGAAGATGGATAAGCAAACCGTCACGAAAATTCGGCGTTATAGCCAAAATGTACTAGAAAAACACTTGAGATGCCGAATGCGATAAGACATAGGCGTCCACAGTTTGCCCAGATAACATTGGTTTAATCAAGGAGACGACCCGTGAAAGGAAGGCCTGATATCTGCAAGCATGGGAATCAGAGCTCTGCTCAGTGAGACGGCAGTGCACGTGCTTCTATGTCCTTGAGAAATAGCGCCTGTATTAAAACGCAGACTGGGAGTGAAACCGATCAACCAGAAAGATAAGGTACGGATCTACGGGACAATGAGGAAGATCCGGATGGGAAGCCCGAGTCTGATTAGCTGAGCAAAGGAGAGGGGGTCAGGGTGAATAGAAGGTGCGATGAGGCCACACTAGATTTGCTAAAAAGGGCACACATTTGACAAGTGGAATGTAAACAAGTCGGAATTTCTGATAAGTCAAGAGTTGGATAAGAAAGTAAGTAGTTGATAGATGGGCTAGGATAGAAAGAGGAGTGATAGTGTAACCGTTTTCGGCAGAACGTTTTTTGGGGCATTGGCTTGACTTGTCTTTTTGACGATTTCGTAGCAAAACTCACTGATGATGCCGACTACGATGCCGGCGAAACGTTTGAGAATGTACCAAGTCTATTATCTGATGTTGGGAATCACGACAACTACTATGGCAGACGGCTTCGGACTTGGTTCGTTCTACTAAGTTCTCCTGATTACAAGACCAAGTTGCGACAACGAGGTCAACCCACTTCTATAAATCGAAAGGAGACTGCGACCATACCAGAGGCCAGATCATCTTGGTCTTCATATCTTCAAGGAAAAAATATAGCTTATATATGCAGCTAAATTATAACTATAAATGTGATCCCAATGATTTGTGGTGACATAATGAGAGAAAGAGGTAATAGGCCTCATTAGTAGTTCGTAGTTTTGAGCAATTATACGTGATATATTTATGATAAATATATGAATATCTTAATGAGTCCCTAAGGATGGCCAAAAAATAGGTAGTTTTGCGAAGATCAAAGGATTACTTCTACTTTAAATTACATTAAGCTACCTTAAGGTTCTAAAATGGACCTTCTACTTGGCTAGGATAGAAGCTTCTACAAATTGAATATGTCCCTGATTCAAGCCTAGAATTTAAAGAAATCGGGTCCCAAGCTGTTATTGTTTCTGGCCAAAAGGAAAATTTTAGCAATGTCACGATTACAACTACCCAAGTTAGCAATGGCGAGGTCCTGCCAAAAGATATCAAATTACCAAATATAGGGATGAGGCAGAAAATCTAAGCACATTGGGGACCATAAAAAAGAGAAACAGTGATCCTGGTTATCAAAAAGTGGCATTGTTAATATACTAAACTAAATAAGAGTTATTGCATGCAAGGCTGACTAAAATTCAAATT